TCGACAACATATTTTACACAACGCCTGAATAATGCAGTTAAAAGAGCTTATTATGCAGCCGAGGTACGTTGTCTCTTCACACCAACTCCTATTCTATGTTTGAGAAATAAGAATAAACCAACTAAATTTTCCTCTTCTATGTGTATCTACCAGTTTGGTTGCAGCTGCGGAGTCAGCTACACTGGGCGTACAATTAGGCAAGTTCATCGTCATATTTCCGAACATCATCCAACATGGTTAAGCAAGGGACAAACAAGGTCTATTTGTAGCTCTATTTTGGCACACCTTGTAGATACTGAGCATAGAGTTGATGTTAATACAGCATTTAAAATTATCTATCGCATTCCGACTAATCTTAATTTCGCTCTACGAGTTTTTCTTCTACATGCAGCCGAAGCAATAGGAATCAATCTAAAGAAGCCAAACCTATGTGTTTAGATGAAATTTGAACAACCACTTTCCTCACCGTGGCCATGGTCACAAGAATGCATAAACAGGACTACTTCGACCCCTCCCCCTAAACCTATAAAAATTATAATTGTCCAAATTATTTTATTTTTTATTTATTTTGACCGCTTCATATTTAGTTACGTGTTATACTTGTAAAATTAATTTATTCTAACCATTTCTACCTTTTAAATATGTACTGATTTTCTTCGTTAATTATCAACCCACTGACGTTATGACAGTTTAATTATTGTCAACAAACTTATCACCACTTGGCTGGCAAACTGTTGTGTTGTAATAAAAGTGCTATATATATATATATATATTAGAGTAGAGCCAGATATGAGGATCTAATCGAAAAGTAAATATTTCTTCGCCCAATCTTTCTGTTTTCTAAATAATTATGTCACCTGCTGGTCTGGACTAGCTCGAGAACCTTGGATTGTAATAGCTGGCATTAAGTGTTATGTGGTAAACCTAATGCGCAATTCATGTAGTTTTTGTGATATTAGTTAAAGTTTTTCAGGTTTTGAAATTGGATTTTGACTGCATCAGTGGTTCCCCTGTTTTCCTACTTCTCCTCTTAAATTGTGAAACGCATACTTTTGGCAAAGAGTTTGTACAATATACTTCAATGATGCACGTTGATACCGAATTCTTATATCTTGAACAATAAAGTGTCCTCACATCTGTATACTAATATAGCAGTCAGAGTAATCCATTATCCATACCGAAATTCGCCAAATACATAGAATTGCGTTGAAACAATGAGGGACTAATTCCGAGAGAAGGAAATTTGTATACCAGCTCATTATAAATGAATTTGAATCGTTATTTCACCAGCGAAAGTTGAGAACAAATAAGTGCCGGGAATTACATTGGCTCGTGAAACTGGAATTCGACACCAGAATTGCTAGAGATGTACGAGGTAGCTTCATTCGTTTGAGCGACAGCTTTAGGAGATGACGAATGTCGTCATTTACCCAAGCTACGCTGCACATAACCACTAGTTTCTATCGTGTAACTCCCAAAGTACTTGTCCTGCTAGGACCAGTAATCATCCAAAATAAGACTTGTATTTTGAGATCAGAAACGTTGAGTGGCAATGACTGCTTATTTAACTGGTGTCCGTACATAAACGAACTTATGTACAACGACGGTGTCCTGAATGCTGGGAATGCTTGATTAGGAACCTTCAGCCTAACAAATCAACTTAATTAAAGAGGGTTGCAAACTAAAGCTTAGTGAAGAATGCTGCACATCAATGACTTTGAAACATTATTTACCGATGCACAATCCTGTGTGAATATCCTAATCGACACCAAAATCATTGCCTAAAAATAAAGTGCTTATTATGCCTAACAAGGCCAAAACAGGTAGAAAGTCCTAAAGACATAGTACTTTTCATCATCATCAAGTTACAAGGGACTAAGATACAGAAATCTTTTCCAAATCCTTCACAACTATATCGTATATTAAATTTTGAAGGTGGGTTATTCAGATACGTTGTTACTGTACGTTCGTCTAATGTTAGTAAGTTGGATTTTCTCACCCTAACTGATGTTATTAGGGAATATCACACTAGATAAATTTCACACTTTTTTATCAGTTTAGCATGATAGCTATAAAAAATTACAGTGTCTGATGGTAGTACCAAATAACCATTCTCGAGAATGGTTATAAATGAACTTTTGATAACCTCCATTTTACAGTGAAGATAGCTCTTATGTGAAATTGCCGTCTGTCACCACTTGTGTGGCAATCTGGTGGGAAGTACATATATGAGTTGGAAAAAGTAGTCCTATAAGCCTCAAAGCTTTAAAGGACTCAGTCGGACAAAAACCGGTTAATAGCGATTAAATACTAGTTAGAACCATCAAAATGGTACGCATGCTAATATAATGTGTAAATCGCAGCTAGATAGAGGTCATAATTGGTAATATCGCTTGAATAATGGTTAAAATGGGTGAGTAATGGTTAGATAATAGAAAATATTGGCTCAGTAATGGTAAAATGTCTGTCAAACAGTGATCAAGATTGTGAAATATTTGTTGAATTTTGGTCGATAAAGGGAAAATCTTGTTATATAATATCGGTTTTTACTAGCTAGTGTAAACGAATTCCATTTCTTTGTGCTCGCTTTTTTGTTGTGAGCCAAAGGGTTGAAAGGGTTGCTGGTCTTCAGTAAACTTTTGCTTAGTTTGTTCCGCCACTCAACTGTCGCAGCTTTGGTTGACTACCATAGGAGTGGTGCTGGAGCTGATTTTATGTAGTTCTTAGGATGCTGTTTGTTAAAATCGTGTCGCTACTGTGAATGGAGTTGATCCTTTCACCTACTAGTCGTCCGGCGTAGTCGAAAAGAGAGATAACAATAGTAAAAACAGACTTTATTAGTGTAGATTATGTGGACTTATATAGGAAAAGAAAGAAAACTTAAAAACAAACAATGAAATTTGAAACTGATATATATATATATATATATATATATATATATATATATATATTAGCCATGCCTATTATTTGACCAATTGTATCTGGTTGCTGATACTGATAAATCCCTAAGAACATCAGTTTTCCAATAAATATGCAGATGTAAGCAACACAACTACCAAGTGTTATTCGGTAGCTCCCTTAAAGTCTGGAACAGTCACGAGTTATCACATCTTTTAATATCTCTTGTATCATGGTTTCCTAACATTTCTATGTGGTATCCTAGTATGAAGGAGACTAATTGGCTGGCAGGATTTGAGCTACTGAAGTTTTCTATAAATGCCTAGTCCTCAAATAAGTCATTTCAGTAGTTTTGTGTAACAAGCCGAGTCCTCATTTCTTTGTTGATTACACTATACAAATGTGGATGAAGAAAGCTCTCACGTTCAAAAATAATATAGTTAAAGACTGAAAATACAGCTTCCTTAGATAACCACTTTCCTTGTTCTGAGCATCCCACCAATATGTTATCCTTTGCAGGTAATTCAAATCATTAAATCAAAAGTTTCAGCTTAATTCAACGACGTCATAACAAATCAAACTGTATTGCATCTCATACTTTATAATCAGCAACTAAATTTACTGCACGTATGTCGTCTTCATCATCCCCTTGTACCTTAGCTTTATTTTACTATCATTCTTAGGTCATTTTGTCTTCAATTCATGTAACTGTCTTCTGGTTTTTTGAGTACAAATCAGTATGGACAAGTATCTAGACAGATGTATTGGAAAAACTGTTCTCTGGTGGAATATTTGACAGCTATTTCTAGACTTTATGGTTCACCGAAACAGATAGTTTATAATGCCCAAATCCAGATAATATTCAGATGTGGTCTAAACACTGAAAAATTTCGCTTTTGATTCACGTAGCATTTCATTGGTCTGCATGCATGATTTAAGTGGTACCTTGAATAGTTTACTTATATGCCAGTTTTAGAAGTAATTTTTTGCGAGGTTTTCTGGCGATCGTATTGTATTGGCATCTGACGGAGTTCGTGTTGTCACACAAAGTATTAGAGAGAAACCTACACTAGACCGCTGGGTCTCCAATAACATTCATTTGGTAGTGATAGGTTTAAACGTATAATTGGAGAAATAACTGGGTTAGTCTTTTCATAGTCATTGATGGAATACAAATTAAAAATTAGTTTTATCATCGACTGAGTGGTTTTCTGAACCAAGTGCTCCTGACAGGTTTCCCAGTGGTGACTAAGGTCATGCATGTTTTTAGGAGTTCAGTAGAAAGCAGCTAGTCGCTGGTCAGATAGTGTTTGTCATCTGCCGCATCACGCAGATTAAAACCTGTTTCCACCTAGCACTAAACTAAGCGACGACCATCACCTTTAATCAGACTAGTGTCCTCTTGCTAGTCAAGTCTGAGGTCAAACAGACTACAATGGAACCAGCTACCGAAAACATGAGTGTATATAGAAGTGGCTTCTCTTTCAGTTTTTTTTAGATCATAAATGTACTGGATTTGTTCTGCGTTCCAGTGATTACTTGTCCCAGACCCATTGATGCAACTATTGAAACTAAGTGTCAAACCAATTCTCCAGAAGGTATTGAAAAACCAACACCACTTTCGCTGTGGAAGTAGCGAGAAGTTTATTCGCTGAAATTGTCTCTCTGTAATTCTCTGGGCCTCCACAAGTAGTTTGCTAACTTCTTAGCTATACTATCAAATAATAGGGTGGTTAGTAAACTTTCAATAGCACTTGTAATATTGTACATATCGTTTTAGAATCCTACTAACTGTTTACATGTCCATATACTCAACAACCAGCTACATATATTTTATAAGAACTAAATGTAGTACTTGGCCACCTAATCTCGAGTGGGTGCATAATCAGTAATTGAAAACTATCTGTAGACCTATAAATTAAAGCTGCAGGTGTCGTGTGAATTTTCATGTATTTCCTATTAATGAAGTAAATGACTATATTAATATCGTATGATATTTCCGGATTAACATATTGTAATTTTTGTAGATCGTGTCTTTTTGAACTCACATCAGCTGGTGATATGAGAATTGTTTTCTTTCAGTCGCAATTACTACGCTCCTGATGACTGAAAATTCTCTAGCCCAGATAAATGAATTCAATCGTGTTGTTTGGGGAGGTTCTGATGTAAAAGCAGACTTGTTTAAGCGTTGGTGTCAAGGTGATGAGTTTTTTTTACGTTATTATATTGTTTAGGCTTTTCATTTAGTCCTTTTGAATTTAGTGCCTTGATACAGTCATCAGGTGGTCCATGTGCTGTTATTGCTACTACCCAGGCTACTATCATGTATGAAATCCTGTTCATTCGAAAGCAGAATCTAGCTGATATTACAGGTATTTTCTCTTAATGTGTGTAGTCAGTAGTATGAAATAGATGTTGAAAATATGGATATCCTGCTTAATGCACTTTTGAGAATCATTTCACTAGTCTCCTGTGATCATCAAGATAGTTTTTCCTGGGTTTATTGGTGTGAAAATGAGGAAGTATCTGTGACGGAGCAACCAACAAGAACATTATCTTCTGTCCAAGGTTAGTAATAGGAAATTTTCTGAAATTCATTTTTAGCTAACGCCAATACACTAAATGATTCTACTGGATACAGTAATTCTTTGGATTGTAATTTGAATCAGTCAGAAGAATATGATTTCCAGAAGTTCATCAATGGATTGAAGTAAGCTGATTTTACCAAAAAGAAATCCAAACGTGCTGACTTCCTCTATTCAAACATGTTTAACTAATATATATATTCCTTTAAGTTCGTAGTGGAACATAGGGTTTCAAGCTAGGCGCTTGAAGTTTCGGTAGCGTGTGTACTTTTACGGGATGGGGTTGCTAGCCTCATACCCAGCCCAACCGTACCTCTTTACCAGTCTTATTACTTACTTAGCGAGGTAAAGGAGTGCGTCGGTCGGCGATCGAACCCCGGACCACCTGCGTGGTTGGCGAGCATTCTACCGATGTGCCACCGACACACGCTTAACTAATTGGTCATCTAATTTTTTTGCTACGAAATTTTATTTTCATATTTATGGAAACCAACTGTTAAAAAAATCTCATCACCAATGAATAATGCGTGTTTAATTGTGCTTTGGAAGGAACAAAGCCGACGAGTTCACGTAGACTGATGTGGTTAGATATTCAGCATGATTCATGGGATAACTGATTCCAGCACAAACCTATAGTCTTCAATATTAAAGTAGGATTCTGTTTATTTTTATCACAGTAAATTATTCTCAGGAGTGAGTCTTACTTAAACAGACATATCGTATTTCTGTAGTCTTTATGCAGAAAAAGTTGTTTCTATTACGGCTTTTTTTACGAGGGGGAACCTCAATGTTTCTTCGAAGCTGGATGATAAATTGACGAAACGTATTTCAAATTCCTTGCAAACGTTTTTTTATAAGTAAAACTTTATTTTCAACTTCAAATAAATTATCAGCTAAACTGTCTGCATCTCTGATGTATGTTGTAAACGTGATTACAGTTTCATAAATGTACTCCTTCTTTGTCATATTCAAAATTCTGAATATCTCGTTAATCCTTATTTTATTCTTCTCTATCCAAGTTAAAGAGCATTACCATTTGAGTCAATTGATGCGACAAAAGTGACTGTTCAGTGATATCAGTTTATTTTACTTCCCCGAAGCGTGTATTCACCAATTTATTAACAACAAACTTATTAAACTACCGCTTTTATGTCATATCAGCTATACACAAGGATTATTCTGTGTTCCTTATGCTTATGGAAGGGTTACATTTTTAGACTTGACCGTAACCTTTAGACTTTTCGCGGTAGATAGACCAGGAAAATCTTCTGATTTAACCTGAACATAATATTTAAAAAAGATTTGAAATTATCTGCATGTCTTCTATTTCATTTCGTGAACTTGACTTTAGACGAATAAGTTGTTGGATGGTCCTTGAGATAAAAAGTCTTTAAATCATCACATCATATCACATAAGTTTAGATCTCAGTCATCGTATAATGGTCTAAAATTAATTGACTTCCTGTATATATTTGGTACCTTAGATCAATTATAGTACGTTTTACAATTTTGACTGCTCCTACAGTATTTTATTTAGTAGCTCTTATTGCACGCAATTTAATTGCCTAAAATTGTTGGTAAGCGGTACTAATTTAATTTAGTGAATATTATCTTTCAGTATAAAGTGAGTCAGCAGATTCACTTCAGAACATTAAATGCAATCAGTTTCTTCAGCCTTCTGAATAATAACAGAAATATGCCACCGTAAATATTGCATTCACCAGTGTGGTACTTTTCACACCAGAAAAATCAAATGTATTTCTATCCCGCCCCCAGTATTTTTATGTAGATTCGATGCGTGGGAATTTGAGTCATTGAATCTGATAAAATTTCAAACGACATTATTTTGAAGATTAGTTTTTAGGATATAATTACTTTGTAATGAAAGTTCTCTGATTTCACCGTGATAAACACCTGTAATATTTCATTGAAAAAGTTGTAATTCATTACTGAAATAAATGACGATGGTTGTAATGAACAGTTCACTTCTTACTCAAATTGTCTATCTGGATTGTTACAAAATAAGAATGCACCTGGTTTTGTTAAGCATCACTAAGTAACTTTCTTGGCTCAAGAGTTTGTTCCCATTTTCTGATACTTAAACTCATACTGCTTAACGAGAAGTATTCTGAGCAGTAAATTTTAATTCTTATTTATAATTACTACTGAAGTGTCTTCTAATCAGGTGTTATGAAGCTGAAACTGTTGAAGAACTTCGTGCAGTCGCTCTCTCATTACTACCTCAAATTACATCTAAATACGGAGTACTATGCTTTCTTTACTCAGTTTTGTTCACACATGGACTTCAGTCGCTGAAAAACGAGATGAATGGGGAAATGGAGGCTTTAATCGACCCAGTTCATGGTCATGCTAGCCAGTGTTTAATTAATTTATTGATTACTGGAGAAAGCACACCGTATTTATTTGATGGTGAACGAGATCTTGGAGGATTTAGTAAGTACATTAAGTTTTTCTTTCGTATATTTGTTTAACATAAAAGCACTCTAACGAATTATCTTCCGCTATGTCCTGACTTCAAAACCTCCTATTCACTTGATGCGGGATATGTCACGTTATTTCTTGATTTTTTGTTTATCCTCCTGTATACATTTATTTGCCGTTTACAATGTACAATGTACAGTGGTTCAACATTTTAGATAGCTATATACCTACTTATTGTATCTATAGATACTCTTTTGGGTGGATGATAAGCACCCATATATGTTACGACTCAACCAGAGTAATTTTTTTCAAAAGTCTAAAATTAAACGACTTAATGACGCTTTTGGAAATGTGAAATCAAAATTGCGTAAAATTAAAAACGTGGTTTATCCGGTTTTTGATGAAGACAAAAATCTCAAATAGCGTTAAATACACATTTCAGGGAGTTCATATGTGAACGAAATGGACAGCTAAGAGGTATATATACTGAACCAGTTATTAAGTACACCTAGTGGCCCAAGCTGAATTATTACTAACTAGGTAATAGTTTCTGTGACCATTGATAGCAGTGTAAGGTTTTTTATTATTCCCACTGTTTGAAGAGCTGTAAGTTACGTGGTTAGAATCCACGACACAGTTATTTCAACATGTAATTAAAATAAATAACTTCGTCACAATATAAAAACTTGCACGGATTTATATCAAATGTTCACTGAACAGAGTAGTAAATAAAAATGTATTTTTCTATTGGTGCAGCAATTTGGGACCAAACACAAGTCGTCTGACAGACTTATTTATTTAATTTACTTTTCTTTTCCTATAAAGCATTGAAAGGTATATCTAAACAACCGAAAACTGGTTTCCTGACGTTTGTTGAAGCAATGAGGTATTGTGAAGTGGGTTGGTTTTTGAAAAATCCGTATTATCCAGTGTGGATTTTGGGATCAGAGACACACTTAACTGTCTTAGCGTCTCCAGATATATCATTAGTGTCCAAAAATGTAAAATCAGAAAGCAATAAATCAATACCAAACATGCATCAAGCTGAACTTGAGTTCGGTAATCTTAGTCCAGATCAAGATACAGGTGGTTTTCTCAGTTCATCAGATTTAGAAACGTTACTGAACAAACTGAAGCTGTCTGCAGGATCTCTTTCGTAAGTGGAATATTTCTATTATTTTATGCTGCTACTAAAACGATTATCTATTTTCATGTCATTTGTTTGATGATAGTTAATAAGGACAATTCGTTCTATTTAATATTATACTACACGGTGATGTCTATGGTCAGACGTGCCGACTGTGAACTTAGAAAGACGTAAATATTTAAAAATGCGCAACATGAAGGTGCTATGAATACATATGGAGTAAACACCAATAATAATAATGAAGATACCGTATATTGATATTTTTTAGTCTAACTTCATTCTGTTATCATGACAGGAAATTCTTGACCTTAAACCAACTTGTGTTAGGTTACTTCCTTATGATATTTAGCTGTGGGAATGAGCTACTAAAACAACGTAATCCATGACCTTTATTTGCATAAAATACATGCAGGTGTTTTTATTATGGTGAAAACAGTTCGCTAGTAAACTGTTAAAGCAGTTCAGTGACTGCCATTTACATATCAGTCTCGTAGTTAGAGGGGGGTTAAATTCAACGCTTCATCTGGGAGATTGATATATTGAAAGCCAAATTTTGCCGGACAGATCACTAACTTCAATGTTTGATTACACTGAATTAGCGAGCGAAATAATATTTATTCTGTGTGCTCACAAGTTTTGAAAGTCTCCTCTAAAGATACGACGGATGAACAACTCGAAATCGTTTGGATAAACTTCTAAGTAATGTTGATCCTTGCAAGTCTATCAATAGGAACTACACAAATAAACCTTGATGTTAAGAAAGATACTAATTCTGGAATCATGTGAACGATAGCTTCAAAGTTGGTTAATTATAATATCTGTATTTCGGTCGCGTAAGTTGAAGAAACTGTATTTAGTTAGATAATTACCTCTCATTAAGTCATAGGTCGACCAGTCAGAGGTATGTGCTATGCATCATTATCATCTCCTTTGTACGAATTAATATGTGTGAAACTTGGGCACTGTGGTATTAAGTAATTCCATATTAGTTTGTTTATTTAATATATCACACAGTAAAACATTATTTACTGGATGATGTTTCGTACAAAATCTATTGTTCATAATCATTTCATCAATTATAATCACACGACTTTGAAACTTGAGTTTTATAATTACAGCTGTTACATTAGATTTTAAAACTGTCATCCTATCCTATCTTATTGTATGGTTGTCTGTAACTGCATGCTATAGCTGAACTATTCTGTAGATTTCTTATTTCATTCGGGTCTAATGTAACAGCTGGGTGGAGGGAGAGATTGATAACAAAAGCTTTATTTATCGAATCAGCTGCAATACATGTAATAGGAATGATTCAACACCTGTCCCTGATATCTGGGAAATCCTACCACCCCTACGACAAATAAGAGAGGACAAAGGAAACTATAAAACTCAAATTTCAAAGTTGTGTGATTATAATTGATATGATTATGAACAATAAATTTTGTTCAAAATCTCGTCATCCAGTAAATAATACTGTTTCACTGTGTGATACATCTAATAAAAAAAACTAATATGGAATTCCTTTGTAAAAATTAACCACTAGTTCAGTCTATGCATTTTAAAAAATTTATTTTTCAATGAGTTTTCCTGACACTTTGCTTTCTCTTGCTTGACTCAAAAGTTATGTTACAACAATCTCCCATGCACTGTAAATTAATTAATTTGACTACTTCATTTTTTGTCTTTAGATTAAACGATCTAACCGCGAAACTGGATCCTGAAGGCTTAGGAATAATTTTAAAAAAAGATTTCTTACAGTTTTTCTTTCCAGAAGAAATGGCTAGACAATGCACTACAGTCAGTAATTTTCAACTAATTCATTATAATGGTCTGGAAAATTCAAACATTGACGGTCAGGTGAGTGATAACAGAGGTTCACCCTAATTTCCAAAGACCGTAGAGTATTTATCTCATAGTTGATAAGACAATAGTCATAGAAAACTTTATAGGAAATTTAAGTGCCCTGAATTCTATCTTTATACTTAACGGGATTTGCGTTTCACTGATGGTATAGAAGTTGGATATCGCTACACGGCGCAGAGTAATAAATCTAGAAGATTTATCAATTAAACTCATTGACTTCAACACTACATTTTTTTCATAATGGAGTTCCAAACTCCTTTTCTAATTCGACTCTGAAAGCCAGGAAGTATCATATCTCTTGTGTGAAATGGAAGTTACAGCCCAATAAATGAAGTAATGTACCGAGCAATTGAATTATTATCGTCATTATTTATTCGTAGATATCATCATCTATAATAACCATTTTGAAAATTACGATCGAGTTTACTTTTCTTTTGTAAAATAGGTTCGGTATAGTATTGGCGAAGCGCACCTTATAGATCCTACAGAAGAACTTACTGAAACTCAACCTGTTGACCGAAGTCCTATACAACAATGTTTGGCGACAAAATGGCCTACAATACGTGTCAGATGGAATAAAAACAGAAGTCCATCTTTGAATTAAATTGATATTATAGAAAACATAACTACCCGAACGCTTTCATGACCTTATTTACGGTTGTACAGTATACCATTCTGCTGTGTACTGGAACTGTTTTTATGTATATTTCCACTTTTTAGAATATGCAACCGTTTAATTGTAATATCTGCAAGCTCCTTATAAATACTTGAGGTTTTTGATTCCGGGTTAGAAACGATTATTGGCTCACCATTATCACAGGCGCGTACTAGTTGCGGGTCGATTGGTATGCGTGCAAGAAGGGGTAGGTTAGTAGTCTCAGCCAGTCTTTCACCTCCAGATTTACCCTCATTCATATTGTCGAATAATGGTTCATGATGACCACAGGATGGACAGATGTATTCACTCATATTTTCAACTATCCCGCAAATAGGAATCTATCAATGAAAAAAATTAATATTGTATGTCTTACAAATGCATATCACGAGAACTAATAGTATTTCATAAAAATCCGTCACAAGTTTAAATTCAATCCATGTAAGGCTTTGCGCTGATAACGGCCGATAGAGATTTTTTATATCAATACTCAACAAGTTAGTTTTTAGTTCGCAATTCATCTAGGTAGTAGTTGAAGTATCTCTTCATACACTCAACAACTTCAATTTCCAGGCATTTACTTTCAGAGAAGAGATTAAGCTCGAAATTCTTGCTGCGGAATGTACGAAGTAGTATGAGAGTCCATAATGCTTTACATTTCGGATCCAAAGAATTTAATCTGTAATCCTCGAGTGGTATTTTCTATCTGCATCGAAAACTAGCTAGCAGTTAGGCAGTCAGAGGATGTAAATTTCCAAGGGACGACTAAGCACTTGACTACCTTACTTCGTGTTCATATAAATTTATAGGAAATAGTTTTACATTCGGAATGCTGAAAAGCATACCACATATACCATGAGTTTTGCTCATTACCTTCAGCGATGAATTTTACGCCTTTATCTAACTTGGATCAATGCACTTTAGATATGATTAACTTTAAGTAGTTACAGCAAACATGAAACATATATTACAGACTGTGGTTTCAGTAATAACTTTCTGTAAATCTCCACAAGATTATGTGAGGTTTTTGCAACCTCGATCAGTAGCATTTCCTTTACTCCCCGTTTACGAGACCTCTAAAATGACAAAATGGAATGGTGACGAAATATATGAGAATTTTCGATTCCCGAAAACTACACTTCGCAAAACCAAAATATGTCTATGCTTGTGGACCTGATAAAGTATAATGAGATTCCTAGACGCATCTTTTACATTTACCTCTATATGATCATGTTGAAATTAATGAGGATTATAATCGAGGCTGTATAAGAAGTCATGAAGGGTTGTGAATAGTCAGGTAGATAACATATCCCGGTGTAAATGTACGGGCCAATAACCTTCTGGTGCTGAAGCCGAGAAAATTTGGAAGAGAGACGCGAGGCGGAAATGAGTGATATTGACTCCTGTCTACCTTGGTAAAAAAGAACATGACTTTGTTGCAAGTCATCTGAGGTGAGAACCGTGCTGTTGATGAACAGAATAAAGACGTGGCTCATTAGCTTAATCACTCATATCTCAATACACCCGTTTCCAGTCCCATATCACCTAGTTCATCCTGGGCAAGTGGCTAGTATCATCAGTTCTCACAGAAGTGTAGCTCTTAGCTTATTATGTGAAAGATCTGTCCGGGGTAGCTGAGTTAATGGACAGAATTGGTTGTCTTCATATACCTATCACAGCGTACATTGTTTACTACCTTATGAAGGCAGCTAATAGCCATGTAACAGTGATAAAAACGATAGAATGTAAGGCGTTTACTAAGTAGAGCCTCAAGGAAACGTACCTTTCACAGAAAAGACCCAGTGAAACAGTCCATATTGATAGTTTACAGCTCAGAAATATAATAGCAGTGCGAACGTAGCCATTACCTTCTTGTTTTGCCAAGTTGCCTAGTGCCTGGTTTTCTTACAACAAACTAGAGACAGGCGACAAGCATTAAAATAGCTAATTCACTTCTTGTTCAACAATATAATCTACTAATTACAGTGACCCAATTATTCACCTTCTCCGGATTTCGACAGACTGGCACGATTTTGGGTTTCTAGAAATGTTTTGTATGGGCTTGTAATGCATAAGTTCCATAATCACCAAAGAACTACTTTCTTATAAGTGGTCTACAGACTTCCCTCGTATATAATAGTCAAGTGGGGACGTGCCAAGTTGTACACTGGAAAAAAACACTTACATTTAGTTTTCGAAACATATCTATTCCTTTTTGAGCATCAGTGGTAGCTACTGCTTGTGGAGTTGTAACAATAATAGCACCTTGGACGGGGACATTTTGGCAAACTGAAAGTTGTACATCTCCGGTTCCTGGGGGCATATCAACGATGAGTGTATGAAGCGGTCCCCAGTGAACCTGTAAACAATGGAAAAAGCACTGTTTGAAACACTGATTTTAGATTAATTTAAAGTGAAATCACCTATTATTTAATTTTTTACGTAGTAAGATCTCGACTGGTGGCTGCTCACTAGAGTTCAAGAAGGGCCTTGCGTATCTTAGTAATTCAACAGGCTACATTCACTACAGTTAAGGCTACAAAAGCTGCTTTCAATTTGCAGTGAGGTAAAGCAGTAGGACTCGACAGCGAAACTGCAAGTGTTAGGGGATGTAGGTGGTGAATTATCAATTACATTAACTGGGATATCAGTTTACACATAGAGACCTGAAAGCCCCATCTAAGAAGTCTTCTTGTTACGGGGATCACACCATCAGCTTGGGTAACGTGTTATCTAATATTCTAAATTCAGTAGATCAGCGAGGACTAAGTGAGCAAGGAAATCGAGTATGTACAATCACGGAGTCTAACAATTGTTACACTTCTTAACCTGAAGACACTTAACTCTGTCGGTCGAGAGGTGCTATGACAATGTGTTAATCTAGGTACTTCATCGGAATTCACGCAGTCATGTAAGATGTGTCAAGTGTTAACAATAAAGAAAGTTAGGATGCTAATTTAAGAGTCACAATCATGCAAGAGATGATTAAGAATATGGCCTGTGTTTGGCTGGTTACAACGTAGAAATTTGCACGGATGTGCAGCAGTTCAAGTTGCCACACAACGTATTTACAACCTGAAAGAAACTCGTGTCCTTTCTGAGATTTGAACCCATGTCACTCAGTGTTGAAGTCACAGACGTCACCACTGAACTATTCGGTCCGTGTAAAACTCTTGCTCTTAAAATAGGAAATCGTGGAAAATACTTATCAGGACATTCAACAAAAAAACAAAAATTTCAGTAAAGACATCTTTTCGGCGAAAGGATATCTTTGCTGAAATTCTTCATATGATAATAAACAACAAATTCCGTTCGAAACGTCACCAATTAAATATTGCTTTTCACCGAGATTCATGGCAATCGATGGGGATGCACAGTGGTAACATCTAACTGTGAAAGTAGTGTTCAGTATGTATCACACCAACAACTCAAATGACTTCCAAATATAATTACAGTAAATATTAAAGAGAGGTACTTAGTCCTATTAAGCAATGCTCATGTTTCCTGTAATAAAAATAACAAAACTCGTTTGAACTATTGTACAAATGGTGCTGCAAAGATTACTTACTTGACGTAACAGTTGCTGAATCGCTGACATTACCATGAGACCACGCCATGTGACTGCTGATTCACTACTGACTAAGAAGCCCATGGACATACATTTGATGTTGTAGTTAGTTAGGGGTATGATGCGTTTCATTTTATCGACTTCAGGAGATATGCCTTCCAATCTGAGCATTCTTGGTATAGAAGGTCCAAATACGTCGGCATCTAGCACACCAATGTTACCACCATCCACGTGATGTTGTAAAGCCAAAGCCAAATTGACAGCCACAGTTGACTTTCCTTAATTTTTCCATGAAATATACTGCAAAATCCCACAAACCGACGCCACCCTTCGCTGATGATATCAGCAACACATTCTCCACCCCTGGTATTGGGAGCCTAACTGTAGCGAACCCATTTACTCTGCATAAGCGTAAACTCCGGAAACTGAAAACAACACGCCTAACATTCATTATGACAGCTGGCAGTTTTACAATCCAAACAGTAATTCAAAGACATTTACGCGCTATATCTTTGACATATGATTGGTTAATGCGACAACTTATACAGCACGTTTTTAAATAAATTAGGTGGATGCTAAATTTTTATTCCTTAAAAAAGTATACTTCATAATCTCCTGCTAAGGGACTGGTGACAGTGCACATGAAGTTAATTACACTCTTGCTGACAGTTACCTACGTAAAAAATCTGGGGTGGTTTTCAGGGGGAATGCAGCAAAATCCCTAGGGATCATTATTGATCCGAATGATCTGAATTCAGATTCAGATGATAAGGACAGAAGGCTCTTGTGGCCTGTGTTAATCCTTTCAAAGTATATCTCTACAGAAATCTAACTTCTCTTTGAAGGCGCGCTCCTTGAATAAGACGTGCTTTTTCCTCTCTAACCGGAAATATCCAATTTTGTGAATTATTCGTTTGGGAAACCTGATCTTCCTATCCGGCGAATTTTTATTCAACCATTTCTTCCTCACCGAGCCTGTGTGTGGTACTTCCCGCTGTCTCGAACTACTGCCAAAGCTTCAGGTGCTACTTCTGTAGCAACACCCTCCTCACTCTTTCAAATATACAGGACTTGTGGGTCTGTTACGTGATTGCTGTGAAACCGAATAACCCGAAAGTTACAGGTAAAGTCTAAAGCTTTTACTTAAATACTTTATCCTTCTTTTCTGTGCTCTCTATTGTCTTTTGCTGTAAGTCTATTGGACAAAATAACAGTCTCTTATTATTTAATCACCAGTATTAATTTAGGAGTAAAATGACAATAGATTCTCAACCTAAAATAAGTAATGGGACATCATACTCTGTAGTTACCAGGGCTTCAGCCAAACTAGGCAAACAGGAGAAGGTGATGGACTCACGCATACCGGTCCTGAAGACCAGGGCTAATATTCCCAGCTCGTACAGATTACCCATGTCGCCACAGTCCTACAGTGAAGCTGTGCAAAGTCAGCCAAGTGGATGTGGCTCCACCCCTGTTAACACGACTAGGTTAACAGATCCGAGTGGGAAAATTGCACTAAGTGAGAACTTCATAACACCCATCCCCATGGTAGACCATGAAACAAATAGGAAGGCCAAAAAGAAACGTTCACGACGTCGCAAGACGACAAGAACGCTCCCCAAGAAGACAGACGACTGCAAGGTCTGTGCTTCTGTTGTCGAACAAGCAGACTCTGCTTTCGAATGTAACTTTTGCAACCGATGGGTGCATTGCAGATGCGACAGTGGGGTACCAAAAGCATATTATGACTTTATGCGTAAAAACCCATGCCAATGGTTCTGGTACATATGCCCGAGTTGCCGTCCTGATGTAGCCTCGCGTAGTCCTTTGAAAACTAAAGATGGCACAGAAGTAGCGGGGAAAAAGGTGAAAAGCTCGACCCCCACCAATCCGGAAGTTAGTACAAACGCGCGTAAACCGGGGATACCAAAATCCTCACCGGTTAAACTTGTAACTCTTGCCATAACCGCTCCAGACACAGAGGCTGGAGAACCACGGGTTTCCGTCGTTGGAAAAAGACCCCAACCGTCTATCAGTAATGCTGGCTATAGCACTGAGACACATAAAAATACCCAGTCGCACCAGTCAAACCAAAACGGTCTTAAAGGTGATCACAAACGTGCGAGGACCGAGCCCAAGCCCACGGTTAGCAGATCAAATTGTGTAATCCTCTTTAATGTACCAGACTGTAGCAGTAGTCTGCTGAAAGATAGGGCCCTATTTGATCAGGAACAGTGGTCCATCTTGAGTAGCACACTGGGTTTGGACATCCAACCAGTAAATCTATGCAGATTGTATAGGGGCACTGCTGCACCTGAAGGCAAACCATCCCCACTGAGGGTAACATTGGGCTCTACCGAGGATGTTGAAAAAGTGTTACTGGCTTCTCAAGTCCTTTCTATAGGGAGGGCCTGTAACATACGTGTTAAGCCAGACAGGCCGTGGAAGGAAAGACAAATGGCGAGGGAGTCGCCAGAGCTCATTCCTTCTGCCTCCATGGTTGTGCATGGCATTCCCGAACTGGTAACTGGGAACGCCTGCGAAAAGCATTGTCATGATGTACAACAATGGAGATGGTTAGCATCCCAGATGGCCCTGGGAAGTTCAGGGGCTGTCTCTATTTATAGACTGCCTCGACCCACTCATCTTATGTCAATTAACTCGCCACGTCTGTTAGCTGTCAAGTTCAGCTCCCAAGACCAGTTGAATACCGCTCTCCATAGATGGTACGAGACCAAGGACAAGGTCAGCAAACACATTCGCTGCTGCGAGAGCCGGCCTCGCACTCAAAGGAGAGAACAAAGCGTAGTAAAAAAAATCCTCAACCCCTAGTCACACTACAGCGGTGCAGCACGGACGATGATAGCCAGTGTCATCCGAGTGCTCCAACTGAACTAGAAGAAAAAAACGCCAACAGGCCGGTTCCTGGGGAATCGGCCAACTAGTTCGTAGGATAACTCCTCAACCGATAGCCAATATCAAGTCAACTACCCCCCAATACGGGGAAGTGGTGAGACTGACTACCAGTTGCCTGTATAGTAATGTGAGAGGGCTAAGAGGCAAAATAGCTGAACTTAGACACCTACAATCACAACTAAACTCCAAAATCATAATACTGACGGAAACCTGGCTAACCCCTACGGTGGCAGACAGCGAAGTCAGTATAAATGATATGGTCCTAGTCAGGCGAGATAGGGACCTGAAAGAAGGAGGTGGAGTCGCCATATACGTCGACAAACAGCTCAGATGTGTTCACGCGACGGACCCTCCCCTCACAGAGCTCCCTGACTCCATATGGTGCCACTTCACCGTTGGGTACTGCAAATATCTAGTGGGCAGCATTTATCGATCACCTTCATGTGGAGCAGACCACAACCAGGTACTGCTAAATACAATCTCAGCAACTCAAGACATGGGTTATGATCAAATTGTCATAGCTGGTGACTTCAATGCCCCATCTCTTAACTTGGTGTCGGGAAAAGCCCATGATAGATTTGATCGAAATCTGCTGCATACCATCAGGAAGGCTGGATTCACTGAAAATGTCAAGATGGATACTAGATGGGGCCCTGATGGGAAGTCTTCTAGACTGGATTACGTGCTCACTAGTGACCAGCTACTAGTGGAAAACGTTCAGATCACGACTCCCATAGGTAGTAGTGACCACGCGGTCATAGTATTCGACATAGTCCTCCGCGAGCGCTTACAGTGGGACAATACACAGCCCTATCTGTGTTATAACAAAGCCAACTACACCAAAATGCGAAGACTTCTGTCTGAAGCAAATTGGCCTAAAAAATGGACAGAGCTAACAGTAGAAGAACACTGGAGAGTGGTAAAGGAGATCATTCACCAGGCGGTCTCAGACACTGTTCCTTTAGTCTCACCAAAAGCTAGGAAGCAACGATCATGGCTGAAAAGGGGGACACAACGCCTTCTGCAGGCAAAGCGAAAAGCCTGGTTCGCGTGGCGACGATCGAAGAGTCAACCCGAATATGAAGTGTACCTTGAACTCAGGAATCGATGTAACATACGAGTCCGGAGCGATAGAAGGACATTTCAGGGAGACCTCGCCAATAAGCTTCTCGTGAACCCCAAAAGCCTATACAGGTTTATGGCCGAAAGAAAACCGACCAACCAGGGAGCATGCAATCTAGTGGGTTCTGATGGGAAATCTCTTACTAGTCTTGAAATGGCAGAGACATTCAGCCTAGCCTTTCACAGGCAACTAAATAGTAACGAGGATATTACCCCTACAGAACATCCAGATTACATCGCAAAACCAACACACGAAAACCTGCTGGGGACATTTCAAATTACCCCGGCTATGGTACTTGCAAAATTGGGAAGGTTGGCTTCGGGAAAGTCTCCAGGTTGTGATGGCATCAGACCATCTGTCCTGAAGCAGTGTTCAGAAAGTCTCTGTCAACCCCTAAGTGATCTGTTCCAACACTCCCTTGATGTAGGGAAACTTCCATGTGAATGGAAACGTGCAATCCTATCCCCTATCTTCAAGGGTGGTGACCGGCAGAATGTGACCAGTTACAGACCAGTTGCTCTACTTCCAGTGGTATCGAAGATATTGGAAAGTCTCATTGACGACCACATGAGAAAATACTTCGATGGGACTAACCTTCTTCACGAAGCACAGCACGGTTTCAGGAGGGGAAGATCCTGCGTGACGAATCTTCTACTAGCCTGGAACGATTGGACACTATCCTGGGACAAAAAGGTACCAGCCCACGTGATCTTTCTCGACTTTGCGAAAGCATTCGACACAGTTCACCATGGTCTGCTCCTTCACAAAATAGGCAAGGCGGGAGTTTCTGGAGCACTTCTCGCATGGCTGAAAGATTACTTAGGCGAGAGAGAATTCTGCACCAAAGTCAACCGCATCCGATCATCCTGGCACACCTCGGCATCAGGGGTTCCTCAGGGTTCTATCCTAGGGCCGTTGATGTTTTTGATTTTTATCAATGACCTGCCCCCCAACTAAACTGCTCTGCGCTTCTTTACGCTGACGACGTAAAGATTTGGAGAGCAATAAACTCATCGGAAGACTCAGATAGATTGCAGGCTGACCTGCAAACTCTGGGAAATTGGGCTTTGGCTAACGGAATGCCTTTCAATCTAAAGAAGTGCAAAGTAGTGCAGCTTCATTCCGGCAGGTCACAGAGTGTAAATTACACCCTTGGTGGCCAGAACTTGAGTTGTGTTCCATCAGAGCGTGATCTAGGTCTTATTCTAACAGAAAAGCTAGACACCAGTGGAAATTACTCGAGGGACGTCGCCAAAGCCTACGCAACATTACACTTTATGCACAGGCAGCTGGGAGCTCTCACTCCCGAACTGTTCTTAAGGCTATACAAGGCATATGTGAGGCCACACCTTGAGGTGCATAATATCATTGCACCTCCGCTACTCAAAAGGGATGCTAACATTCTAGAAAGT